AGCCCCTGCCCCCTGCCCTGATGAGCGCCCCTCCTCTCCTATCCCTCTCCTGCCCCCACCCAAGAAACGCCGGAAAACTGTCTCCTTCTCCGCTGTGGAGGAGGTGCCAACCCCAGAGCCTTCCCCAGCCGCCCCACAGCAGGCCAAGTCTCCTGGCTCCGGCTCCCGCAAAGTCCCTCGGGGTGTGGAGCGGACCATTCGCAATTTGCCCCTGGACCATGCATCTCTGGTCAAGAGTTGGCCTGAGGAAGTGTCTCGAGGAGGTCGGAGCCGGGTTGTAGGCCGAGGCCGCTCGACAGAGGAAGAAGAAGCGGAGCCAGGGACAGAAGTGGACCTGGCGGTGCTGGCCAACTTGGCCTTGACCCCAGCCCGGCATGGGTTGGCTGCCTTGCCTGCTGGTGATGACCCAGAGGCCACGGAGACATCGGACGAGGCAGACCGCCTGGGCCCCCTGCTCAGCCACATTCTACTGGAGCACAACTATGCCCTGGCCGTCAAGCCCCCACCCTTCACACCATCCCCTCGCCCCCTGGAGCCAGTTCCTGCCCCTGCAGCCCTCTTCAGCTCCCCTGCGGATGAGGTTCTGGAGGCCCCTGAGGTGGTGGTGGCTGAGGCAGAGGAACCAAAGCAGCAACAGCACCAAGAGGAGGGTGAGGAGGAGGAGGAGGAGGAAGAGGAGTCCGAATCATCTGAGAGCAGCAGCAGCAGCAGCAGTAACGGGGAGGGGGCTATCCGGAGGCGCAGCCTCCGTTCCCACACCCGGCGCCGGCGGCCACCCCCACCCCCACCCCCACCGCCTCCCACCTTTGAACCCCGCAGTGAGTTTGAGCAGATGACCATCCTGTATGACATTTGGAACTCAGGCCTGGACTTGGAGGACATGGGCTACCTACGGCTCACATACGAGCAACTGCTGCAGCAGACAAGCGGGGCCGACTGGCTTAACGACACCCACTGGGTCCATCACACCAATATCCTGAGCCCAAGGCTGGCCTTCTTGGGATAGAAAGACAGGCTCAGGGAGTAGGGGGTGGACTTCCCTGAGGTCACACGGCCGGGTGACGTTCTCTTCAGATAACTGCTAGTGGTGACGTTCTCTTCAGATAACTGCTAGTGTCTGCGTTTCCCTCCCTCCCTGACCACTTTTCTTTGCCACCCGTGTTCATCCTGGGTGTGTCTCCTCTGGCTACGAAGTCACCCTGTTCTCTCTGCCTCCCAAAGTTTCTGGCAGAAAAGGGGGGCTAAGACTTATTTCTCTCCATCTTTCTGTACCCTTCAGCCAAGTATGATCAGGACCTCTAGTGAAGGTCAGTCACCCTTTTCTTGGGCTGGTAGTGGAGGGACAGAGGGGAGGGGAGCCCAGGGATCTGGTCAATGAGGAACCCATTCTTTTCCTTAACACACCGTGCACTCACCAACCTGAGCACTCCAAAACGCAAGCGGCGGCCTCAGGATGGGCCCCGTGAGCACCAGACAGGCTCAGCCCGCAGCGAAGGCTATTACCCTATCAGCAAAAAGGAAAAGGACAGGTACCTGGATGTGTGCCCTGTCTCAGCCAGGCAGCTGGAAGGGGCGGACACTCAGGTGAGGCTCTGCCCTGACATATGGGCCACTGGCATCCTCTTCCCATTGTTTCTCCTGGAACTTAACCTCCTCTCTTTCCTGCTTCTCACAGGGGACTAACCGTGTACTTTCGGAGCGCCGATCTGAGCAGCGGCGGCTGCTGAGTGCCATTGGCACCTCAGCCATCATGGATAGTGATCTGCTAAAGCTAAACCAGCTCAAGGTAAGGAGCGGGAACTTGGACTCGGTGGAAGGGCAGCATGGTGGAGTCCCCTAAGGGTGCGGATTTGGGGGGTGCGTGGCCAGACATGCCCTCTTGCCCTGGAGCTCTGCAGGAAAAGCCAGGAGAGGGGTTGAGGGAGGCACCCAGCAGCAGAATAGTCTACCTTCTGCCCTTTAGTTCCGGAAGAAGAAGCTTCGATTCGGCCGGAGCCGGATCCATGAGTGGGGTCTGTTTGCCATGGAACCCATTGCAGCTGACGAGATGGTCATTGAATATGTGGGTCAGAACATCCGCCAGGTGAGGAGGCCCGGGTCCCAGTCTGAGGGCAGCATGGGATACTGACATGAGCCCCATCCAACGCTCTGGATAAAGCCCCACATAACCCTCCTGGCTCCAAGGCTTAATCAGACCACCCCTTCGCTCCCTCCCTCCCTACCTCCCTAGTAATGGGTACTAGTAAAGTAGTTAACGAGATGGTAATGACCCAGCAAGATACAAGATTAATGTTCTCTATCCCTTTAAGGACCTCAGTTTAGCGGGGAAGACAGGCATTCAACAAGCAACTATAACAAAGGATGGTGTTTGGTTGTTACTAAAGGGGAAGTTCAGGGAGGTAGGGCTGGTTTGAGCACAGTACTGTTTACACCAGGATCTGAAGGGTGATGAACTCCCGGGCTCAGGTGAGGGGAGGTGCGCCTGGTTGTGGGACATCATATACGGAGGCCTGGAGGCAGGAGTCTCAGGAGGGCAAGGAGGGTACTGTGGCCAGTTGGAAACACCTGGGCCAATGGCAGCGATTATAAATGGAGGGACAGGTGTGGGGGGCTAGACTACCTGGAAGTTAGGAACCACGTTCATAAGTTGGGACATGCCGAGATGAGGAAAGTTGCTGGGAAGCATTAAATAGAAGGGAACTTTGGAGATTGCGAACTCCCTCTGGGCTGCAGTGTGAAGAGAGACCAGTAGGGTGGGAGGGAGGCTGTTACAGAGATCCTGGCCAAAGGTGGGTATCTCGACTAGGCAGTGGTGGCCAAGGTAGCAGGAGTCTGGGGGTCCAAGGCAGCTCTGGAGAGTGAGGGCAATGAGCAGGTGAGGCCATTCCTTAGGGCGCTTGCCTTTAGCAGCTGGGAGTAGTAGGGCTGCCAGTGAGGTGGGAGTGAGGAGGAGGAGCAGATGGGTGATACAGATGAGTTCCAGTCAGGATACGTGAAGTTGCAGTACTCAGGACATTTAGAAGAGGACACCCAGCAGCTCCACTGAGGTGGATTTTGGCTGGAGATGGACGTTTGGAAGGAGTCCCCAGCACTTAGCTGGCAGTTGAAGCCGTGGAAGAGAGAACACCCAAGGGAAGAGTGCAGAGGGCTTAGTGATGAGTAGGTAGGGCTCAGGCCATGAAGTGGCCCCTGTCATCTTGGGAACTGCCACAGCTCCACAGCAGACTGGGGACTCCACTGTGGGCCAGGAAGACACTGCAAGAGCGGTGAGGGGCTGCTTCTGCCCAGCGACCAGTGCAGACTTCCCTGGGGTCCTCCTTGGGTGACTTAGAATGGCAGCCGAAGGTATAGGGGGTTGGCCATGAAGGGAGGCCTCCTAGGAGCCAAGTTAGGAGTGTCTCTGCGTTGGGTTGGTGGAAGCCAGAAAGGGAGGTATGGATACGACAGGTCTCTGCGGCTCCCAGGATGGTAGCTGGGAGACTGAGGGGCAGCTCCCTGACCATCTAACCTCATCCTACCAGATGGTGGCCGACATGAGGGAGAAGCGCTACGTGCAGGAGGGCATCGGCAGCAGCTACCTGTTCCGGGTGGATCACGACACCATCATTGATGCTACCAAGTGTGGCAACCTGGCGAGGTTCATCAACCACTGCTGCACGGTGTGCTGGGGGCCTGGCTAGGGCGGGCGGGGTCTGAGGGGGTGGCCACTCAGCTCACTCTGCCCTCCCCTCCTGCAGCCCAACTGCTATGCCAAGGTGATCACCATTGAATCCCAGAAGAAGATTGTGATTTACTCCAAGCAGCCCATTGGTGTTGACGAGGAGATCACCTACGACTACAAGTTCCCACTAGAGGACAACAAGATCCCATGTCTGTGCGGCACTGAGAGTTGCCGTGGCTCCCTCAACTGAGGTGGGCAGGACTGGTGCCCACACCCCTATTTATTCCCCTTGGTGCCCTGAGCTCCCAGCCCCCTGGCCTTAGTGGGCTCAGGAGGGCCCACATGCCCCCATCTCTGAATATGGAGTTGGGCCCTGAGTCCTGCAAGGGAGCTTCAGTCCTTGAAGCAATGTCTGCCTCCCCTGTCACCCCGCCACCCACCCCCTAATTTTTTTCTTTGCGGAGAAGAAGCTGTAAATGTTTTGTAGCTGCCAGCAGCTGTTTCCTGTGGAAACCTGGGGTGCCGGCCTGTACAGATCCTGTTCTTGGGGGCTGCACACCCCCCTTGCTTTGTGTTAATGGGGACTTCCCTTTTGTGCCCTGCGTGCACCCCTCCCCAGTTTAGGGGTCTCTAGGGGCAGTGGCCATGTTCTCCCCCTGGGGAGGGGGGCCCTGTGCCTCCCAGTCCTGGGGATTCTGTGCCTGGAACCCTGCCTCATCTTCTGTTCCTGCCAGACCCTGTGGGTCACCTTCCTACCCTGGTGTCTGGAAGCTCCAGCTGGGCCAGGCCAGGATGGTGGGGGGAGCGGGCCCTTCCTGTTGGGCTGGATTGTACATATGTTAATAGCACAAACCCAATGCCACATTTTTATAATTGTGATTAAACTTTATTGTACAAAAGTGCTTGGTCAGTATCTTTGGGAAATAGGATGTGATGAGGGTTAAGGACAGAGGGTAGGGCAAATGAAGAGGGGATCTGGAGTTTCGGGTGGGTAGAGAGGCTTTTGGGCAAGGGCCCAGATCCAGACTCGGCCATCATCGCTCTGGGCCACCTGATAGGCTGGAACAGCCTAGATCCCCCAGCAAGCCAGTCAGACCTGGCCAAGGTCAGGCCTCCCTCCCCAGAACCGCAGCTGGCCTCCTGGGAAATCAGCAGGAGGGAAGGACTGACCTCATATGGTAGGAGTGAGGTCACCCTGCTTGCTCCATCTCTCCCCCACCCAATCCCCTCAGTGTCCACACCACAGGTTTTGGTTTTCCCATCCCCCTTCCCCAAGTTCTTTGCTGGAACCAGATGCCAGTAGAGCACACTGGCCACCAGAGGGAGCCCTGTGGCAAGAGTGGGAGGCAAGGAGTGGAGGTTGGGCTAGTCTGTTCCTGGAATGGGCAGGAGGAGGGACGAGCGGAAGGGGAAAACGGAGTGCCGCTGGACAGAAACGAGAGAAGACCAGCTCCTCTGGTGGGTAGTTTGGGCACCCTGGGACTGTGGCTGCAGGTAGGCAGAGATGCCAGGGGGTCCCCTGCCCCAGTTCCAGCCCTGCCCACCTTCCTCCCCAACTCCTTGCCTCCCACCTCCCCACCCCCACCCAACCTCCCCTTCCACCTCAAACACAGAGCCCTTCCTGAAAGCCCTCACCACTAACTGTAGCTAGTTATCTCGCTACAGTTATCTCACTAACTGTAGTTGGCAGGGTCAGAGGACAGGTAGCCTGCCTACTGCACCCACAGCTACAGCCACCAGGAACAGTTCTGGCCCCTGGGTCACTGCTACAGTCCACTAGGTCAGAAGTCCCTTCTAGGGATAACAGGTGGGCTGCCAGTGCTGAGGCAGGTAGTGGCAGGCAGCTCAGGTGAACCAGTGTCTCTCCCTAGCAGGACATGGCAGACTCTGCACAGGCCCAGAAGCTGGTATACCTGGTCACAGGTGGCTGTGGCTTCCTGGGGGAGCATGTGGTTCGAATGCTGCTGCAGCGGGAACCCCGGCTCCATGAGCTGCGGATCTTTGACCTGCACCTGGGTTCCTGGCTGGAAGAGCTGAAGACAGGTGATCATGGTGGGGACTTGTGGGGAAGACATGAACTCCCTCCATGGTGGTGGAAAAGATGACGCCTGTTTTTGTTCTCTGGTGCACGGGAATGGGGTAAATGAGTCACGCTGGGAACATGTGTTTCCCAAGGGTGTAGGCTGAACCAGGCAGCTGACTGGTGGCCCCAGCTCTGACATTGCTTCTGGCTACCCCTACCCCATACCAGGGCCAGTGCAAGTGACTGCCATCCAGGGGGATGTGACCCAGGCCCACGAGGTGGCAGCGGCTGTGGCTGGAGCCCATGTGGTCATCCACACAGCGGGGCTGGTAGACGTGTTTGGGAGGGCCAGTCCCGAGACCATCCATGAGGTCAACGTGCAGGGTGAGATGCTCCCTAACTGCTCTAATAAAGCACGTAACACTTCTGGTACATGGCCTGACCTTGACTGTGTCCCAACTACCCCCTCCCCCTTGGACCCTGACCTCTGTGATTCTCTTGTGTAAGTCTGTCCTGTGTCCCAACCTGCTGTGGTTTTCCCTGGCCCTGGGGGAGGAAGCCATGTGCCTTCATCCAGACTTGAGATGGGGAGGGGAAAAATACAGAGAGGGAGGGAGCTTCAGTTTGAACACACACCCCACCTCCCCAGGCACGCAGAATGTGATTGAGGCTTGTGTGCAGACTGGAACACAGTTCCTGGTCTACACGAGCAGCATGGAAGTTGTGGGGCCCAACATCAAAGGCCACCCCTTCTACAGGTGAGCTGAGTTTCCCCCCAACATTTTTAGAGTGCCATCTTCCCTCAGCATTAAGACTCTTCGCTCTCCCCGACTAGGGGCAATGAGGACACCCCGTATGAAGCAGTACACAGACACCCCTATCCTTGCAGCAAGGCCCTAGCTGAGCAGCTGGTTCTGGAAGCCAATGGAAGGAAGGTGAGACTGGAGAAGATGAGATGCAGAGCCACAGCCAGCTGGGCTTTTTTGCCTCCTGCCCTGGGAACCTCCCTTCCATTTCCAGCTTGAAGAGGCCAGGGCAGAGGGCAGGTCACTGGGTCCTAGGTCTTAGCAGTGCCTACCTTTTGTCTCCAGGTCCGTGGGGGTCTGCCCTTGGTGACATGTGCTCTGCGCCCCACCGGCATCTATGGTGAAGGCCACCAGATCATGAGGGACATCTACCACCAGGGCCTGCGCCTAGGAGGCCGGCTCTTCCGGGCTATCCCAGCCTCTGTGGAGCATGGACGGGTCTATGTAGGTGAGGCCTGGGCTAGACGGGGGGAGGCTGAGAACAGGGCAGGACCTGTGGGGTTCTGGGAGGTGTGCAGTGTGTAACCTGGATAGAAAAGAACAGCCTATACATGGGCCAGGGTAGACTGTATGTAGCATTGCCTACACAGGGCACAGAGGAAACAGTATCCATGCAAGCTGGGAAAGCGGACATAAAAAACATGTCGCAGGCGGAGGAGAGGGGCAGCATCTGCATAGGCCCAAAGAGGAGGTGGCTTGTATGTGGGCTGGCCTGGGAGACCACAGCATATACGTGGTCACAAGAATACTCAGGGGCACATCCGCCCCACTTCCCTCACTGGCAGGCAACGTGGCCTGGATGCACGTGCTGGTGGCCCGGGAGCTGGAGCAGCGAGCAGCACTAATGGGTGGCCAGGTGTACTTCTGCTACGACGAATCACCCTACAAGAGCTATGAGGACTTCAACATGGAGTTCCTGGGCCCCTGCGGATTGCGGTTGGTGGGCACCCGCCCACTGTTGCCCTACTGGCTACTGATGCTTCTGGCTGTCCTCAACGCCCTGCTGCAGTGGCTGCTGCGACCCCTGCTGCTCTATGCACCTTTGCTCAACCCCTACACGCTGGCTATGGCCAACACCACCTTCACTGTCAGCACCAACAAGGCTCAGTGCCATTTTGGCTACGAGCCCCTGTTCTCATGGGAGGAGAGCCGGACCCGCACCATCCGCTGGATGCGGGCCATGGATAGTTCGGCCCAGTGACGGTGGAGCTGGGGCCTGGAGCCCAGCACAGCACATCCATCCAGGCCCACAGCCCACAAGCCCTGGCTGAGGAGGGAAGGCTGCATTCTAGAGCTCGAGTGTCCAGTGCCAGACTGGCTGTCCTAGAGCTCTCCACATGTGAAATCCATGAGCCTTACATCTGTGTCCTGATGCCTCTAAGTTCTAGGGAAGGAACATCTTCACTCTCAAGCCAGGTCTGACGGCGGATTGGCAAGGGTCTGATTTCCCTGATGTTCTCATCTGCCATCCCATTATTGGCTTTTCAAGCAGGAAGTGGGTACAAGTTCCACAGGCCCCACGCTGGGCTTCTGATGTCCAAGCATGATCCTGTATTCTGAGTGAAGAGGCTTTCTGACTCTTCCTACCCCCTTTGTGACTCCTTGAGGGTCATACTCCCATTATTTTAAAACACTTATCACCTTAGGATGCTTATCTTTTAAATGTCCTCAATGAAAACTGAGGAAATCTGTGTATTTTCACTTCTTCCCACCCCTGTACCCAAATGTAGCTCCTGCAATATTGTGAGATCTCTGCCCAAGCCCTGGATTAAAACTCCTTACCTATTCCTGTGTCCAGCCGCCTGCCCAGCTCCCTGGCCCACCTCCCCCCATGTGTCTTCCCTCCCCACGGCGCCCGTCCCATGTGGGGACAGAAGGAAGTGAGCACGCAGCACGCCCGCTGTTGGATTGGTTGCTATTTCTCCGGTCCCACGGGGCCCAACCCAGCCCAGGGTGGGGGCGGGGGCTCTGGGGACAGGACATGCAGGGCTGAGGACAGAGGGCAGAATTTTCCTGTTTTATCCATTTGCAACTTGGTCACCAATAGAGAGAAATGGGTCTCTGAGGGCTAACAGGAGAGGGTGGCCTGGCTCTGGGCCCCCAGCCAGGCCCCAAGAATCCTGTCGAGAGGGAAAGAGCTCTAGAAACCAATGGAGAAACAGAAGGGGCAGGGACTCGTGTCAGCAAACACAGCTATATCACATGACACGCCAGCGACACGGAAACACGCCAACGCACATGGCTGCACAGCAGGCAGGGGGCAGGTCAGGTAGAAGGGAGCCAGGGGCCACCATCTTATCCTTTGCAGGGCTGGCTGGGGGGCGGGCAGGGTGAATGCATAGAACACATCATGTACACACGCTCAAGGCATGGCAAGAGTGTGCGTCGACCCACAGGCACATGGGATGGACACGCGCAGTGTGCTTCATGAGAGGCAGAGCTAGGGTTAAAGGGGAAGGGGAAGCAACGAGCCCTGGCCAGGCCTGGGACCACCCACAGGGCACATATGGTTGTAGGTGTGGAAGGGTGGGCAGCACACACTCCTCCAAAACCATGCAAAAGACTCTATCACCCAGACAACACTCCAGGACACATACAGACACAGCAGCCAACAAGCAAACACATCGTATGATGTGTGAGACTCGTGTGAGCTTGGGGTTAGCAGACCCTCCGGGATCCTCTGGTCTGACTGAGGCCCAGAGATGGGCAGCTAGGGGCCTAATACCACTCAAGGCGGCAGCAGCATCCCTCCAGTCATGGCTCCACCCTTCTCCTTGGCCCCCAAGGCTGTGAGAATTCCGGAAACACCTGGGCTGAAAGGGTGTCTTGGTTGGGCAGCGGGAAGGAAAAAGGGAAGGGCGGGGGAAGTGCTGGGGCCTGCTCTGACATACCCAGAGAAGTCTGAGGACAGAGCAGGAAGGCTGTAATTAGGGCAAACCTTCTGTCCTTGAGAACGGCATTCTGGGAATAAACAGACAGTTGCCCCTTTTTCAGCCCACCTTGGGATTTACACATACTGGCCACACACAGGCAGGGCCCAAACAGCCAGGGAGGGAAGAGGTTGACTATCTGAGCTGGGGTGGGGGTGGGGAGGGTATCGTGTTCCAGGTCACCTCTGCATTGTCTCTCACACACACACGTGCACATTTCATATGCAGTGGGACCCTGGCAAATGATCTGCACACAACCCTGAGTCCTTTGCCCTGTGCACATGTACAGTCCACCCCCAGGACAGGACATATTCCTGTACTTGTGTGTTCAGTCCTGTGTATGTGGGACCATGTTTCTCAGCCACGGAGTACAGGGACCTCCCAACATTGTCCTTTGCCCATGTACCTCCCATCTGCCATCAAATACGCAAAGCCACCTGTGCATATGTTGCCTACATAAGGGAGGAGCTAGCCCTTTCCTCCATCAGGAACCCAGGCCTGTGCCCCACCTTCAATCTCACCCTGGTGGGGAAGCAGCTATTGCAGACATTTCAGCAAATGAGTCCAGGGGGTGAATCCTGGGACTCAGCCCACCTTGAGCGGCTGTTGCCACACTGACCATTCCAGTGTATCTGCAATAAACAGTTCCCCAAGCCCAAAGCCTCTGAGGCAGAGCCCAGAGCATCCAACAGGCCAAAGGAGACAAACGTCGGCCTCTCCCAGTGCTGAGGCACACGTGTGGCAGGCAGGAATGCTCTCATTTTCTGTCTGGGATAGTGCTCTGTAACATTCTCACATTAGCCCTTCCAGGAAGCATTAATGTGCAAATCAGAGTGGGCCTGCACGGGCACCTTGTCCATGTTAGCACACACGTGTAGTCGTGTGTGCCTGGGTGTGGTCACCTACACCAGGCCTCCTGAGCCTTGGCATGTGCGAGCCAGCTCTCGTGGGTGCAGGCCTATCCTCTGGCAGAGGCACAGAGGAAGATAAGCATCTGGGCATGTGTGCTCAGGGGCTCTGAGACCTGACAGGGCAGGAAGCGCCAGTTGCACAACGTTGATGTAGCAGTGTGTGGCCATACCAGATATTGGGCAGCAGCTCTGGGGAGAGAGGGAGGGGCAAATCAATCTTCATAAACAAACCTGGATGGGGCAAGAGTCCTTAAAGAGAAACATGTGTGCATATAATATACGTGGGGACAGAAACACTCCAGGTTTCTGTGTAGAAAGCCTCTGTACATGTACACACCCACTCTCACACAGACATATTCTAGACAGCATAGAAATATAGATTACTGCACCGGCCCAAAACAGGTGTCCTGTGCACAATATGGAGGGCTCTCTGAGAAGACTTACTAGCACTTCAGGCAAATCCTGACACACACACACACACACACACACACACACACACACACGTTCCTCACATCACCTGCTGGGGGAAATGTACATGTATATAAAAGCCGAACTAGGTTATTTATACATGTACGCTTCCACTCAACGCTGGCTGAACTCCAAGGTTCACAAGGTGCGCGCACACACACACTCCCCTGGGACACAGGCCTGGGGTGACTAAGCCAGGAAGATTTATTCCACATCACGCTGCGGTGTCTGCCGTGCCTGTGTATTTGGGCCTACCTGAATCCTCTGGGAATGAGCATCTGTACACTCACAACCTGCCCCATTTGTAGCAGACACGGGGGAAGGGTTGTCGGTGGAAGAAATGCTATTGCATTAGATTCAAACACGAAATTCCATGTACACAAATTATATGTCCACAGATTTGTGGGCGTGCACGCGCGCACACACACACACACACCCACACACACCCACACACACACACCTATTCACAGAAGACAGAGCGGGGCCTGGTGGGCTGTTGTGCTATACCCAGCCATAGTCTACACAACAACCAAGTGAAGAGGGGAAGCTCAGACAACATACAGACTTGAGGTGGGACAGGAAGGGTGATGTGGTGCTTCTACACACATCTACGAACGTACACACACACGCTGGGGTGTCCACTCATCTTGAGCATGTGCCGGCGGCATGCATGTTGGTGTGCATGTGTAATCACGCCTGCTGCTATTTATGTGCGGGGGCAGGGGGTGGTCCATGGCATAGTGAGGTCCAGGGACTCCAGGGTCTGATGGGGGGAGGGTAAAGGGGAGGGCTACCTGGGTCTGTCTTGGGGGTGGGCCTGGAGCAGGGGATAGAGTGAAAGGGGTAGTGGGGGTATTGCTCCCAATGTGGTGGGGGAAGGGTCTTAGGGAGACAGGGGTGGGAGGCCTACAAGCCCAGCGTCCCCCCAATGGATGACGCCAAGACCACCCCCAGCACCACACAGCAAATGATGATCATGATTTTCTTCTGTAGGCAGAAAGGGCAATGGGATAGGAGAAAGAGAAAGGAGAGACGGAGAGACAGAGATTAAGAGGGTGAGAGAAAGAGACAGAAAGGAGGGGAAGGAGGGTATGAGGAAAAAGAAAAGGGGAGAAAAAACAGAAAAAGGAAGAGGTCAGAGCCAGAGATAAGGCCTTCCAGGGGATTTCATCACTTGTCTCAGCCCTGGCCTGAACCCAGCCCCGCCCACCCTGCTCCAGCCCACCTGCCCCACAGGCCCTCCCACCCCGGCTCACCCTCCGGGCCTTGCTCTGATATCTCACAGCTTTCTTCGTGTCAGACACAGCTCGCTCCACATAGTCCACGGAATGTTCCACGTTGTATTCGATTCGGTCAATCATTTCGCCCTGCAGAGGGGATGTGCATGGGGAGCGGTGGGGCCAGGCTGGAGGAGGGGCTAGGGGAGGCTTCCAGATGGTGTGGCAGAGGGCAGAGGAAGTACCTGGCTTTCCACGAGCATGGCCATGTCCACAAACATGTCATGCAGCTCGCGGATGCTGGTTTCCAGTTTGATGATCTCGTTGTGCCTCGTCTCAATCTCATTCAGCGCCTGCTTCGTCATCTGTGAGTCCATTTTGATCTTGGGGGACAGGAGGTGGGGGGCATGAGGGGAGCTGAAGACCACCCTTCACGCCCACGAGAGCTCAGAGTCTGCAGCCAGAGCATCTGGATTCAAATCTGGCTGTCATTCGCTAGCTATAACTGTGGGCAAATTCTTTTTTTTTTTTTAAAGATTTTATTTATTTATTTTTAGAGAGAGGGGAAGGGAGGGAGAAAGAGAGGGAGAGAAACATCAATGTGCAAGAGATACATCGATCGGTTGCCTCTCGCATGCCCCCAACTGGGGACCCGGCCTGCAACCCGGGCATGTGCCCTGACTTAGAATCAAACTGGGGACCTCCTGGTTCGCAGGCCAGCACCCAGTCCACTGAGCCACACCAGCCAGAGCTGGGCAAATTATTTAACTTCTCTGGGCCCTAGTTTCCCCACCTAGGAAACGTGGATAATAATAGTGCCCACCTCATGGTTGTTTTGAAGATTAAATGAGTTAATATGTGTCCACTGATCAGAATAGTACCTGGCACACAGGAAGCATTAAAGACAAGTTTGTTAAATTACAAGAAGTAAAACTTGTCCCTCACCCAGCACCTTAGCCCAGGGCTGCCTCTATCACACACACCAGGGAAGCCCCAGGATGTGAGACAGGGGTCCAGGGCCCCTACTAGTGTGGGGGCTCCTGTCTGAGCAAAGGCAGATAGGGAAATGGAAGAAGACACAGCAGAGAGAGAGTAGCAAGCAGAGGAGGGGGCTCAGATGAGAAGGCAGGGTGCCCACAAGTCCCCTGGAGCCCCCATGACATGAGATGGGGGAAGAGATAATAAAGGAGTGCACTGCAGCCTCCAGAGTCAGTGGAAGAGAGACTCCCACCCACGATTAGATACGTCTCCTCCCCACAAAAGCCTGGCCTGAACCAGGTCACTCACTTCCCAGCGTATTCACTGTTTAGACCACATTAAGCCACTTCTCTGCTCTAAAACCGGCCAGGGCTCCCCAATGCCCACAGGCTACACACCTTTACCTTAGCAGGCAAGGCCCAGGCTCCCTTTCAGCCCTCATCTCCCACATAAGAGCCAAAATCATCCAGTGCAAGTGGCAAGTGGTCCACTTCCCCTGTCTTTGTCCAGTCTGTTCCCTTTGTCTAGAGTGCCCTCTGCCCATCTCCCCAAGTCAAATCCTCCTTGTCTCTTAAGGCACAACTCAATGCCACTTCCCAGGAAGCCTTCCCTGACTCTAAAAGTTAATTTTAACCAGTACCTTAGGGCTTGTCTGCATCTTGCACAGCCCTCAAGCAAGGTACCAGCCACTCTGCACTGTAATGGTGGGTTAATCGGAAGGGATCGGCTCTGCCTCCTTAGCACCACTTACCAGGTTCCCTCCATTCTCAGACAGACAGACAGCCTGGGGAGAGCTGTTTTAGACAGCTCCAGGCTAACTGCCCACAATCAATTTGCTCAAAGCTAATTTAACAAACACCAATTATCTAAGTAACAATACGCTAGACAGTCACTGAACGCACTTTAATCCTGGTCTAGAAACCTTAACCAGAGCCATTCCAGCACCAGAAGCACACATAGAGACGGAACTGGGCAGGCTAGGGTAAAATTTAGCAAAGAGAAAAGAAGAACTACAGCGGGGGAAGCCCATCCATTCACAGAAAAAATGACAAGAGCAGAACACAGTGCAAAATTAAAACAGGGTGTTTTTATCCTGGTTGGAGTGGCTCAGTGGATTGAGCCTGGCCTGTGAAACAAAAGGTTGCTTGTTCGATTCCCAGTCAGGGCACACGCCTGGGTTGTGGGCCAGGTCCCCGGCTGGGGGACATGTGAGAAGCAACTGATGATCGATGTATCCCTCGCACAGTGACGTTTCTCTCCCTCTCTTTCTCTCTCCCTTTCCTTCTCTCTAAAAGTAAATAAAATCTTTTCTTAAAAACATCAAAAGAGGGTTTAAAAAAAAAACCTTCAAAAATAGGGAGATTCGTCATTGGGTGAAATAATCTGCTTGAGTAGAGTTATCTTAGTACTTAAAAGTTCTGACTCTGACCCTAGGCTGTGGATTCAAATACTGGCTCTGGCCCCAGCTGTATGACCTCAGCAAGTTATTAAACCTCTCTGGGCAAAATTTCCTCATTCACGAAAGTGAGTCCCTCAGAGGGTTTGGTGAGGATTAAATGAGGCTAGCAGATAAACGTAAATATGTAAAGTGCTTAAAACAGTGCCTGGCACACGACTGTTTGCCATTTTTATGGGGGTGGCTTCCTGCTCTGCTCCCACGGAATTCCCCAGTTCCAGGTCTAGGCCTTCCGATGCCAGTTATTTCAGGGTGGACTTAGGACCTTGAGTTTAACCCAAGTTTAGGGAGGAGAGGCAAATGCTTTCCAAAAACAGAGCCCACCCCCACCCCGCGGCTCACATCATCAGTGAAGATGGCCAACTTCCCGCTCTCCAGCATGTCTTCCAGTTCTTCGTTGGTTGTGGTCCTTCCAGCTGTGGGAAGGAAATACCCCATGCTCAGGGATTGGGCCAGTTGAAGGGCCTGGGGTGGTGGGATGGGGCAGGGACCTCAGGAAACCACCCTTCCACCGAGCCTTAAGGCCAGATGCCCCCTCCACGGAGTGGAAGGGCCTGGAAGGGGGCTTGCGCAGGCCTGGAGACTTTGGAGGGGAGGCACACGCACTGATCTCCAGCTGCCGCTGGATCCGGTCCTTGCAGCGGTCCCGGTACTTGGACTGGGTCGCGTTATATTCGGTCATTACTTCCACGAACTTCCGGGACAGTGTGGAGTGCTGGGATGGGGATACACACATCCGGAGGCAGGGAACAGAGACCAAAGAGGTAAGTCGTTAGTGCGGGGTTGGAGTGGAGAGAAGGGGTGATCGCGCCCCGATCCTACCCCCTCACAAGTGCAGTCCCCTAGCGCCTGTTTTCTTTCCCTACGGCCAATCCGGCAGCGGCAGGGCTAGGGCCAGGAGACCCGATCCTCACACACGCCCGTCCGAAGCCACGCCCCTCGGCCACGCCCCTCGCTCGAGCTCCTCCGGCCCGCCTGTCACCAACCAGCTGGATTCCTCCCGGGCTCGGTCCAGGTCCTGCCCCAGTCTGCCCGCTGCCTCCTACCTGGGTCTTACGGATTCGCAGGTCCGCGGAGGAACGATTCAGCCCCTCCTCCTGTTCAATACTTTGCTCGATCGCTGCGGGAGAGAGGATGCATTGACCGGCGGGAGACCCGGGGCGTGTGGGGCGGGGGTCCGGGAGATGTGAAGGGCTGACACCCCGAGGCAGGCCCCAGGCCTGTGAAGAGATGTCACACCCGTGGCAAGGGCAGACAGTAAAGGATCCAGGGTGAGGGGCAAGAGGCCGGAGAGTAAAGGGACAGTCATTTGAGGGGGTCAGGAAGGCAAGACAGGAAGGAGACTGAGGGTTGGTGAGTAACCAGACAGAAGGGGACTGTTTGTTCCTTCGGAGGCTTGGGTCCTGTAAGGCCGCGTAGCTGTAACTGCGGCCCAATCCCTCGAGGCAGTGTGGGCTCAGTCCACTGTGGAAGTCCCTCATATGCAGGGAACTCCACTTTCTACATCCTCTGGAAAGGGGCAGGAACCCATCCTGGGCTTCTTCCGGTGGACGTTCCAACAGAGAAAATAGCTCTCCCCCTGCCCTACAAGATGATGCCTGTTCCTGGGAATTCCCACTTCTAAAGGATGTTCTAGAAAAGTGCACAAATTAACTGGGGTGTCTGCTTCTGGATCATGCACTCCTGACACTTACTCAGATTTTCTAAAAAAGAGCTTGTGGTAAGATTTACTGTGCTGGGAAAATGCAGCAGGGATGAATCACGACCAGGTCCTCTCAGACCTGGAAGGGCCTCCAGGCCATTCCTGAGAACAGCACTTCCCTGTTCTGCTGGCAGCAGAGGAGATAGGGGGCTGGATGGCACCCCAGTGCTCCCTGCCAGCAATGCAGGGCAGTGACTGAGTGGCAGCTTTGGCCCAGCTGCTGCAGGAAAAGCACAGGAACACACACCCAGGGATGTCAGAATCTCTGGCCCAGACTCAGATCCTGTTGCCAGACCCGGGACTGGGGCCTAGCCCTGGAGGAAGGCGTCCTTTACTGTACATGGTCTCATTGACTTCTTACGACAATTCTGAGAGTTCAGAGATCTTGGTCCATGTTTCGGACTAGAAACTGAGGTTCACATGGGTAAAACAACTCAGAAGGCACACAAAAGCCTGAGCTTGTGCCACCACATAGCTGGAGAAAGAGAATTTTCTCTTTCTAGAGATCTGGTAGTCAGCCTCTCTAAGCCCCTGCCACTTTCCCCCGTTTCTTTCTTGACCTATTCCTGGGCCCCTACAAGGGTGTCCAACCTGTGGCCCTTGGGCTGCATGCAGCCCAGGATGGCTATGAATGGGGCCAACAAAAAAATCATAGATTTACTTAAAACATCGTGAGATTTCTTTGTGATTATGTGTCACAATGTATTTCATGTGTAGCCCAGGGCGACTCTTCTTTTTCCAGTGTGGCCCAGAGATACCAAAGGGTTGGACACCCCTGCAAGAGCCCTCCTCATGGTCTGATAGAGAGACTATTAAGGTCAGAGCTTGATGGGCCTGAAGAAATAATCGAGCCCGGGGAATTTAAAACTGTGTTCCGTGGAACCCTGTTTCTGAGAAGGAACTTCAGGGGCCGTTGACAGGAGTGAAGGGGAGGCCCTGGGCTTCCCAGTCCCAGTTCAGCCAAGACAGCCTGGCTTTTATGTGCTGCGTATTCTGGAGTTCTTTGTAAGATTTTAGTTGGGAAAAAAAGGATTTTGTTACTGTCCCCTGCCCCCAACAAAAAAAGCCAGCTTTGAAATTGCTTCCATTTTTCTTACTGTACTGATGAGGAGCCTGAGGGGAGGGGAGGCACTTGTCCAGAACGAGCTGATGATGTAAGCTGGACTCCCTCTGCCTGGATTTGCACTTAATATGCTCCCGCTTTGGGTCATTTTCCTTTCCAGCACATTCTCATGAGTGCGAAAGGTTTGTTTTTACAGATCAGCACTAGAGGCTAACTCATCGCCTCCTGTAGAGTCCAGGAGGACATCAAGTCTCTGTCCTCATCTCCCTGGACCAAGGTCAGCGCACACAAGCCCTGGCATCTGACGTGCTTCCTTTTCCCCTAAGCCCAGTAATATGGCTCAGACAGAGTAGATGCTAGGTAAATGTTTTCTGCTGCTGAATTACCATAAACATACAAATTGGCATCACAGTAACACTACTATTCCCCTGGCACCAGCAGACAAGGAGGTTCCCAACCCACAGTGCTTTGGGGGAAGGTGGTTATTACCAGCACCCAAGTCCTTAAATTAGAGAGAATACATGAGCATTTGGCAAGTCCCTCCTGAAAGCTTGCCAGCCCGTGATGTCAGCCACACAGTCCAATCTGTCCTGAGCCGAGGACACCAATTCAGAAGCATTTGCTTAACCCACCTACTGGCTGCTTAGCACTGTGCCTGGCACCTGTTCTGAAGAAACGAGGCCTTAATGAAACTAAAGCCACTTGAGGCTCTTTTTTTCTGATGGACCTTCGTGCTGTTGGAACAAGCAGAGCTCATATGTAATTTGGACAGACACCCTCCTCTTCCTCATTTCCCTGTCGTGTATCTTTCTCCAAAGGATCTGGAGCAAGAAGGAAAACTGGGGCTTTGGGCTTTCTCATTGTGTAAGAATCCGGCTCCTAGAAGTCTGTGGACATTCCTTATAGAAAGGCCTGTTTGGTCCACTGGAAGGCCCAGCTCTTTTTCTCCTTGGTCAGGGGACTGTACTCCTCACCTTTCAATTTGGACCGAACCTTGTTGGCCGTCTTCTTGATGTCTGCAGTGAGGTCCTCCAGCTCCTGTTTGGTCTCTGAGGAGGGGGCCAGGGCGGGCGGTAAGTCTGGGTGGACCCCAGACCTCCTCTCCCCCCAGCCCACAGCTACCCCGCAGCAGCACTCACTCTCGTCTGGGTTGGGGGCGGCCAGGATGGCGCTATGCTGTTTTTTCACTTGCTCCACGTCCTCTGACAGCTTCTCAATGCAGCCCCGGATCTCTTCCACCTGGGGCAGCAAATTGGCTCTACCCAGCCGAGTCCTCAGGCCAGACAAGGGCATCCACAGGGCTCAGTCAGGGTTCAGGGAAATGGACCAGACCCAGGGGGACTGGTAAAAGGCCAAGGGGTGTAGGAGTAGAGAGCGGGGGGCGGAGGAGGACTTGTTGGCTGGGGTATTGGAGGCTCAGTTACCTGCTCAAAGAACTCATCCATGAAGTGATCCCGATCCACATGGACCACCTCCTCCTCATCATCGCTGTCTTTCGCCTGGGAGGCAAAGAAAGGTGGAGATCATGAGCAGCTCCCACCCTGCTTCTGCTGCTCCCAGCTTTAGGCTCAGAGCAGGGGTCTTGCGAGGGGTCACACGCAGGGTGCATGGCAAGGATCCCGGGCAGTCAGAAGGAACACGGGATATCTTGTGGAACTGAGTACTGGAGGCCACGTAGCTGAGAGCCCAAGACACCTTGGAGGGAATTAGCAAAAGCCACCCTTTTGGGCATGGATGTGATCCTGTGAATGCAGTCACCGTGGAGGCAGGTGGTGCTCAGGACAGCTGCTATTAACCAACCAGAACGAGAGTATTTCAATATTGTAACTACCAGCTAAACGTCAGCCTTGCAGTAACTGTCTCCGGGCTCTGAGGAGAGGTCTGGAATGGAGTCCCAGGAGCCTGACCCTCTCCACCATCACCCAGCCTCACCAGCCCAGGCGCCACTTTGCTCCCCTCCTCTTCCCCTCCAGTCATGTCCCCTGTGCAAGGTCAATTCACCGCCAGCTCTGGGCAGCGGCAGGTTGAGCAAGCACAGTCAGGCCCAGTAAGGGCTGGAGGAGACACAAACAGTGCCCGGATCTCCCGCACTCCTTGTGTCTTTCTTCTCCTGCCCACCTGCACCCCTCAGCTTGCTCTGCCCCTCGCTGCCCCCGCTGACTCTCTGACTCTCCTCAGTGTATTCACTTGCTTTCATCCAGCCTCTTCCAGCTTCACACCCACCTACTCTCACTTGCTTGGATTTCCTAGTTGCAACTTGCAGCGGCTCAGCCCTCCACCCCCAGGGCTCAGAGACACAAAGGGATTTACCCACCCACACCTCCACCAAGAGACAGACCAGTGACACAGACAGAAGGGCTGACACACAAGGCACACAGAGAGACAGACCCACTGACACCCACACAGAGATACACTGACATGCTGACATCCACCAGCACACAGACCCACAGCAAAGCTGCATGCTGATACATGTGGACACAGCTGGTCACCTGCAACCCCAGGGACATTCAGGAGGACCCTCTGAGCCAGTTCTCCCCACCTCTCAGAGGCTCAGGTCTGCACACTCATTTGGAGCGGGGCGGGGCGGGGGGGGAAGGGGAGGAGGGCAGGGAGGGCTCCCCAGTGCTACACACTCCCGTCTCAAGACTTCTCTGCTTGGGACAGAAGTCTGAGGACAAAAGCCGAGCCCTTCAAACTTAATTACGTCTGGAGCCCCATCAGCTCCAATGGAGATTTAAACACAGTTCAGCTTGATTTCCAGAAAGAACCTACCCCAAACTCAGAATATAAGTGCCATAACCTGAGTGAAATCAAGACGGGATTCAAAAAGTGTCTGCCTGGGGTATAGCCAATTGGGATCTAAAGAGGAGGGCTCACATGGAACCTCAATAGGGTCCAACCAGATCACAGACAGGACCTGGCAGAAACCAGACAGGCTCAGACCAAACCAGACTCGGCATAAACAGATCCCAGACAGCTCAGATCGAACCTAGACAGAGCCAGATGGGACCTAGATGCAACACAGAAAGCCAAGTGAACTTGGAATCAGGAGAGCCTCGGCAGCACTGGAAAGAACCCACAAGCCCAGGGAAGACCCAGCCGGACACTCTGAAGACCACCCCGGCTTCTCACCCAAGCCCTGCCCCCAAATTCCAGGAACTCTCTCCACAGGCGCTGGGCCTCACACCACATCAGGAAGTGTGTTTGGCACTTACATTTAATTTCCAGGCAATCCCAAATATCCGCTGGGAAAGGGAGGCTCCTCCATCTCTGCCCACAGCTGCCCCAGAGGTAGGGGTGGCAATGATAAGGGCAAGATGACTTAAGAGGAGCAGCCTAGCCAGAGACCCCTCCCAGGTTAACTGTTAATCATTGCTTATCTGCTTCTGTAGCCCGTTTTCACATCCCTTCCCCCGCCTGGGTAGCACATCAGTCTCCCACCTGAATGCTAATCCCTTCCCCCACCTGGGAAGCCCATCCGTTTCCCGCCGGAATGCTAGGGCTTATAAACCCCTATCTAACCCCGATTCGGGGCTCAGAATTTGGAGACTGCCTCCTCTGAGCCCGCGCGTGTGAATAAAGGCTTACTCCGTTCCCTGAATCGTGTCTTGAGTCTGGCTTTCCGTAACAGCACCAGGTAGGGCTTAGGGACCCTGATGGGACTTCCGGCTTCTCAAGCCTCTCTACCTGTCCTGGGACCACCCTGCTAGATCTTGGCCTTTAAAGACTCTGGGATGCTCCGCTCATCTCTGAGGAACCTGCAGCCTTCCCTGATACCCTGTCCTCAAAAAGACAGCTGCCCCACGAGGGCTCCTTCCCTTCCCCAGGCACCAAAAGCCAGTCCTCTGCACCTTCTCTGCCTTCGAGTACTCGACTCAGCCCTGCTGCCCACATGAGGCCTCTCACTTTCCTGTTCTGTCTCTTTCCCTTACCCATGCAGACTTTAGACTTCCTGAAGTCTAATATCCACCTCTCCTGTTGTTCCCAGAGCCAGTTTCTTGGATTCTGCCCTGAGGCACCTGTCCTTGAGACAGGAAGAAAAGTAGAGGACTCAAGTAGGACCTATTTGGTGTAATAATTACAGAGCTCAGTGTTAACAATCCTCTGCAGTTCACAAACACTTTGGCATCTACAATACCCTCCCCCCTTTTTTCAACCCTGCCCAAGGACATGCCCATTGATTTTGGAGAGAGAGGAAGAGAAGGGGAGAGAGAGAAACATCTATCTGTTGCGTCACGTACGCACCCTGACTGTACACGTCCCGACTAAGGAATCGAACCTGCAACCTAGGTATGTGCCCTGACCAGTGATCAAACCCGCAACCTCTTTGGTGCACAGGGTGACCTACCGTGCTACCCAGCCAGGACATCTATAATCCCTTTTGATCCTCACCACCACAGCGCTGATGAGAAAGGCAGAGCAAAACAAAGTGGCTTTCCCGAGGGCACCCAGGCTGAATGGAGAGCAAGGAGATCACAGGCGTCTAAGATGTGCCTGCACACAGCCCCTCCTGAGGCTGGAGACCAGGCCATGTGCTTACAGCAAGTCTGCCACAAGCTATTTTCCCTCTCAGGTAGCTCCTGCTAAGGCCTAGTCTGGGTGAGGCTCTGTGCCCTGAAATCCTGGCAAAATATTATCAGTCAATAGCACCTCTGAATAGACCTTATCTTCTTGTTATCTCATTTAATCTTCATCAAAACTCTATGAGGGCCCTGACTGGTGTGGCTCAGTGGGCGTCGTCCCACAGACTAAAATGTCACTGGTTTGACTTCCAGTCAGGGCACATGCCTGGGTTTCCGGCCAGGGCCCCGGCTAGGAGCATGCAAGAGGCAACTGATCAATGTTGCTCTCGCACATCAATGTTTCCTGTTCTGTCTTTTTCCCTCCCTTCCCCCCTCTCTAAAAATAAATAAATAAAACCTTTAAAAAAACCCCAACTCTATCAGGACCATTGGCCAACATAATTATAATTATGGCAGACGTTTACATAGCATGTTATGGATACCATTCTGTGCACTCCACATATATTTATCCATTTAATTCTTACACACGATCCCCTGAGGTAGATATTATTATAGCCCCCTTTTATAGATTGGGAAACTGAGGCACACAGAGGCTAAAGAGCTTGCCCAAGTCAGCAGCTAGACAGCCAACTCAGCAGCCAGAAGGCCACATAAGACTTCTCCCCTCTGAGCCTCGGCCCACTGAAAGGCAATAATACCTACCCCAGATGGTGGGCAGGAGGGCAATGAGCCCAGGCAAGAAAAGTGCTTGATGCTGCCAGAGACAGAATGAATGCTCAGCGAGGGCTCGCTATTACCCGCTTCCTCTCCCCACCATGTTATAGAAGAGGAAACAGGTTCAGAGAAGTTGCCTGGCCTAAGCCTCGCAGCAAATAAAGCCAGAGGTGGTGCCTGAACTGTCTGCCCAGTGCTGAATCCCAGGTTCTTTCCCCTCCATCCTTCTATTCCTGGCCTCAAAGAGTCCATTCTGCTGTGTCCTCACTGCTGCTGAACTCCTGTGGCCAGGATAGAAAAGCAGCAAGAGGTGCCTGGCTGCTGGAAGCACTCACCCAGAAAGGCAGGCACTCCACCCTCCACTTGACCCGCTGTGTGACCCCAGGAGATGCTCAGTCCCTCTCTGGGCCCCAGTTCGGCTGGGAAATGGGTGGGCTGGTACCTGTGCTCGTCAAGGGCCCTCACTGCTCTGAGGCAGACATGTTTAATAGTGAGCACAGCCTCTATTTCTGGAAGAAGCTGGCCAGCCTCAAAGAAAGCCAACTGTGGGCAAATGAGACTACCTAGGAGAAGATGATCAAATGTGCGTGATCCACTCTATGGACAATTCAAGCCTGTTTCCCCATGTGCAAAATGAAGAAGGTAAGAATTATATACATCTAACACATACGTACTGATTGCCATGAGCTGGGCCCTGATACCAGTGCTGTGAATTTCTTTTTTCATCCTTATAGCCATTCCATGAAGTAGATACTAACCTTATTCCCATTCAATAGATGAGAAAACTGAGGCATAGTGAGATTAAGCATCTTGCCCAAGATGATGCAGCTGATGGGTGCTGATAGTATGGTGCCTAGATTTGAACCCAGGCACTCTGCTCTTCACTGCTCACAACCCCTCAAGTGCTTGAGAGGATTAAATGAGAAAGAGATCCCGGGCTTTTTCTGGAACTGCCTTAGGAATAGGCACTGCCTATGGAACTGCCTCCTTCCCCATCAGAGACACCAAGAGCCCTTTGTATGTTAGTGGCAGGAGATAACATAGGCAGATACAGAGATGGAAGGAGGAGAGGGACAATGTGAGCCAGCAAGTCAGTGATCAAAGAGACAGATGGTGAGAGGGTGACTAAAATAGAGGTGGAAAGAGACTGAAGTTTGGTGATAGAAGAGTCACAGAGTGTGTGTGCGTGTACACGGGCCCATGTATACACATGTACTCACATGTGCTCCTCAGGGGTGCAAGCATCGCTTGATCTAGAGGCAGCAGCCTGTCTCTACTGAAACCCCCTGCCATTCACCTGTCTCCCTGACCTGGGCCTCTCCTCCTCCCAGTATCTAGCATAGCAGCCCTCCCCCCCACCGCCTTCCCTGCCTTACGCCTTATTCCCTTCCTCATCCTCCCTCTGCCCCACTGAGTCATTCATTCATCTAACAAGTCTGTATGATCTGTGCCAAGTTCTCCTCCAGGTGCTGCTGAAAAAAGTGGTGAACAACACAGGAAGAAGGTCCTGCCTCCAAAGAGTTGACATTCCAGTGGAGGGAGACAGACAATGAAAAATGAACAAGACAATTTCAGATTGTGCTAAATAGCAGGAGGGAGATAAACCAGGAGAAGTGACAGAAACATGCAACAGGCGCAGCTTTATGGAGGATGGCCAGGGAGGCCCTTTCTGGAGCTTGACATGAGTTAAGTCCTGAAGGAGTCAACTGTGTCACAGCCCAGGGAGCACAGAAGTCAAGGCACAGGGAAGAGTGTTCCAGGCAGAGGGGATAACATTCAAAACAGAGGGACCAGCATTCTGGGCTGAGGGAACAAGCACAAAAGTCCTCAAAAGCAGGGGTGAACGTGCTGTGTTCGAACAGCAGAAAAAAGCCCAGGGCGGCTGGCTGGTACCAATCCATCATCCAGGGTTCCCCGGTCCCTGGCGCCTCTTGCGCAAACTGGGCCACTCTTTCCTTGTTATTTCAAGTCTGCCTTTCTAAAGCACCTACTGTGCCTGTCCATACCTGTGTGCCACACATCCGACTCAGCCCCTGCCCTCAGGGGCCGGACTGTCACAGGACAGTCCCCTGACAGTCCTGTGACAGTCCCCATTTCCCACCAGGTCTCAAAGTCAAGCCTCTCTTCCCGCGGGCCTCACCTTTCTCCATTTCCCAGTCTCCCCATTTCCGTTGTCTCCTGCCTTCCCACTCCACAGGCGCCTCACAGGCTCCAGCCCACAATGTGTCTCCTTGTGTTTTCTCTCTCCCACCAACCTTCTCCACCTCACTTGCTCCTCCTCCTCTCCTGTTGAGCCCCATCCCTGGCCCCAGTCCTTGGATCCCGGGACACCAGTCCAGCTGACTAACTCCGGTGTCAGGCTCCACTTCCGCCCAGTGTCTCCCAGTTCCCAGCCAGAAGTGTTTGGTGAACTGGAAACAGAAAACCCTGGTTTGACCCTGATTCTGCCAGAACAGCTGTGTGACCTTGAGCAAGTCGGGTTACCTCTGTGGCCCTCAATTTACTCTAAAATAAATTAGGGTCACATCCTGCCCATCTCAGGGGTTCCAGAGAAATAAGTCGGCTACAGAATAACACTCATAGAGCTTTGCTGGTTACCAGGCCTTCTAGGTACTTTTTACACAGTAACTCATTTCAGCTCTTAGGATAACTCTGCAAAGTGTTATCCTAAATTCATTCATGAAGAAACTGAGGATCAGAGAAGTTAAGCAACTTACCCAAGGCCACACAGGAAGTAGCGAAGCTAAGATTTGAACCCAGACAGCCTGACTCCCAAATCTGCGCCCCTACCTGCTGTGTGAAAAACACACCTGAGAACCCCTGGGGACTCTAAAGTACTGTTGGAAAGCCCAATCAGGCCCCTTGGGCTGACATCCCCTCCCACCACGGGCCCCCACCTCATCCTTCTCGGTCTCTTCAAGAGCCCTTTCCCAGGTCTCCCCTGCTTCCCAGCCTCCCTGCTCTTCGCTCTTGCGGGAGACCCTCAGCACTCCTAGCATCTGGCAGCTTCTTCCCTCCCCACCCATCCTCCCAAACCTCCAGTTTTCCAGCGCTGTGACTAACACCAGAGCCACCAGCATTCCCCCAGTCCCCTTTACCCCTCCACACCACTTTCCACCTCTTCCGCCTGGCCGCCCCCAAAAGCCCCAGCAGACAGGATTCCTCACCTCTGGGCAGGGTCCCCTGACCCACCCAGATGAAGACTCCCATCCCCTGCCTCCTCCACTACCGCTTTCCCCTTCCTCCCCCTCTCTCTAATCACACCACACCTCCATCACCTCACCCCAAACCACTTTCCATTTCTCTGGGTTTGGGAGTCAAGAATAGTCTTAGCAGCAGGGTATCTGGGTTCAAACCTGGATTCCTCGCTTGCTAGTTGTGTGACCTTGGGTGAGTTATTTAACCACTCTGGGCTTTAGTTTCCTCAACTATAAAATGAGGTAGTGTCTCAGTCTATCTACCTTTCCATGAGGTGGGTGAGGGTCTAAAAGATTATAGATGGCAACCTGCTCTGGATGAAGACACACCTTGCTAGAAGGGTAGTTTAGGGCACCGACAGAGCCAGCCTGCCTGGCTGCCTTTTATTAGCTACGTGAATTTGGTTAAGTTACTTAACCTCCCTGGGCCTCAGTTTCCTTATCTATAAAATGGAATGAGACTAGTTCCAGCCTCTTAGGGTTGCTGTGACAATCAAAATAGGTTAATGTGTATAAAACACCTAGAACAGTGTCTGGCACTTGAGTGTTGGTTATTTTTATTATTACTGTCATTTTCCTGATGCCTATTCAGTAAGTTTAATAAAGAAAGAAACCTTCAAAATTCCCTCCCTCAACCACAAATTCCTCCTTCCTTCCCACTTGCCAACTCATCTTCCCCGGAGACAGCAGTCACTTGCCTCTAAGCCCCTTCCTCTTGTCTTTCAGCGGTAACCTCGTGCCCCACCGCACAAACCAGGGGCCTTGCCAAAGACACAGTGTTTTACCCCCCACCCTACCGCCCATGTTGAGACTTCTGTTTCAAAGGCCAAAAAAGCAAAAACACACGTCAACTTGGCAAACAGAAAACCCCAATTCCAGTCTGATTCTCCCACCCACTTGCTTGGTGACCTTGGGCAAGTTCCTGCCCATCTCCGAACCCCAGTTTTCTGATCTGTCAAACGGAGTAAACTGGCTGGGCTAGTACTTTATTAACGTACCACCACAAGACCTGAGCACACAGCAGGTTGTCGGTTCGGCCTCCTTGGAGCCCCAGGTCATTTCTCCAAATCCCCCAGCATCCTCCCCACCAAAGCAACCATCCTCATCAAGGTCCCACTCCCCAGCCCCTCCAAATGGCAGCCTTCACTGCAGACACCAGTGCCACCCTCTTTCTCCTGTCACCCAAACACAACTTACTGCCTGGCCAGACTCCTGGAGCCTGGCCTCCTCAGGCCTGCAGCTCAAGGGCCCACGTCCGCCGGCCCTGACTGTTCAGGACACCCCAGATCCCCTCGCAGAGCACAGTCCACGTCACACAACCCAGTTCCGTGGCCCTATGCCTGGAACCTCCTCCTCTTCTCTGCAACCCCACCTCCAACCTCTGGGGTCACCCCATCTCAGGCCCTGGACCTCTGGCCGTCTCCTGAGGCAATCCCTTCCATGCTCCTGTCTGAGGTGCCCCCTTCCCATGGAGAGCAACACATGAGTGTGTGTGTGTGTGTGTGTGCGTGTGCGCGCGCACGCACACGCACACACACACTTCATTCACTGCCAGGTGCTGGCATCTCAGTCCCAACCTGTGTCCTTCCCATATCATCCCCCATTTCTGGGCCCCGCTAGACTGAGCCTGGGGTTGACAGCACCTTCCAATTCCTTCTTGACATTTACTCTTTCCCGTCCCCAGATTAGACCCCAGGGGCTTCCTGGGAACGTGGGGTGTTCAAGACCCCTGCGATCTCTCCTGCCCCTGTGTCTTACCAGCTTTCAACCCTTGCAGCCACTGTCCCCAAAATGCAGGTTCATTGGAGCACATTATATGTCTCCAGAAATTGTGGTGCCCCTGCAACCAACCTCCAGTCATCATTTGCCCCCACATCCCAGTACCTGCCCCACTCCAACCCTACGCGCTCCCGAAATAAGGGGGTCCCTCCCCCCATTTTCCCACCCCCAAGCTTACACTCCGCAGTTCCTGAGTCCGATCCTTCATCCTGCGACGGCTCCTCCTCCGCCTCGTCCTACTGTCCCTGGTGCTGCTCCTACCTCCTGCCTCGGTGCTGGAGGCCGGGGTCTGGGGGCGCTGGGGGGCAGAGGCGCTGAGAGAGACGCCGCGGTCGGGGGCGGGGCCGGGGGCGGCGGGCAGAGAGCCGAGCAGGGGCAGGGGCCTGGACCAAGCTCGGCTCTGCTGGGGCTGCGGTGGCGATGCGGCTGCGGCACAAGCTTGGATGGAGGGATGCGGGAGCCGAGGCGCGGGGGAGGGGGGTGGAGGGAGGTAAGGAGGAAGGGAGGGAGGCAGGGGGGAACAGGGAGGGGGCGGGGAGCAGGAGGCATGCGCAGCACCCGGGTCTGGGGGCGCCTGGGGGTTGTAGTCCGGGGGAGGGGGACCCAGGGAGAGGAAAACTGGAGAGTTCTAGGCGGGGTGGGTAAGGGCAGAACCAGAGAATCAGGGAGAGATGTGGAGAGAGACAGAGGAGATGCGGCGGGGAGGCACAGAGACGCTGGGGTTGGGGGGCGGCGGGGAGGACAGCAGTAGGAGGGGTAAGAGAATGAATATCCTGGGAGAGGTGCTGTGAATCTCTTGACGCCAGGAGATACAGATAAATTTTTATGTTTTGTGTCTGGGAATCTGTGTGAGTCTGAGCCTGTGCACGACCACCTCTGTGTGTGTGTGTGTGTGTGTGTGTGTGTGTCCCCCACAGTGCTCCTTCCTGTGTGTGTGTCCCTGCAGGAGGCTCCTTGGACACTAGAAATAGCAAGACTGATCCTCTAGGTGGCTTTTGTGATGCGAGGAATCAGCCACGCTTAGCTGAGAAGGACAAGGGGCATGTTTTTGAACAGCCTTCCCAACTTTAAGTGTGAGTTCCTGGGCAGCAGGGCGTCTCAGAGCTCTGCTTGTCTACCTCTAGGGACAGGATGCTCACTACCTGACCAGAACTCCTGACCTGTCTTTAGATGGTTCTGACTTAAAATGGAAATTCATCCATGTCAGGCGGGAATTCTGGTACCCCTGACCATCCAAGCACCCGGCCTCCCTCTCCTTGATGCCCGCCTCTCCTCTCCCTATCTCCATGTCAACGCCTCCACTCCTGCAATCGGGCTTTGGCCCCCAACAGCCCTGGAACCTGTTTTTGCCAAGTACCCAGCGAACTCTTTGATATCAAATCCTTCAACCATTTGGCAGGCCTTATCCTCCATGGTATTTCAGGGACATATGACTCTGGTGACCTCTCCCCTCCTTGGTTCCCAATCTGCCTCCTGTCTCTCCCCCCCCCAAAAAAAACCTCTGGGTGTTGTTTCCCAGCTCCTTACAGACCCCTCCCTTCTCCCACAACCCCTCAACAGCAGAGTCCCGTGGGCCGGATCCCAGGTACTCTTCTTTCTTTATCCTCTCACTTCCCCAGGTTCAGTTGTATCTACATGTCTACAATATCCACACCTATACCTGCAATGCAAAGGCATCACCTACTGTGTGCCTGAGCACTGAGCTGGGCGCCAAGGGCCCAGAGATAAGAGATGTGATCAGAGACATAAGTAAATCCATAACTCTAGTGAGGTCCAGGCTTTGATGTTGGAACTTCCACATCTGTGGCGGATTCACTTCCCCCACAGTGCTCCTTCCTGTATTCTCCATCAGAGATGGCACCTCTGTCCCCCCTGACACTCAGAGCAAACAGAAAGCTGTTCTTGGCACCTTCCTTTATCCATGAGCATCCAATATGTCCCAGGTACAATGCTGAGTAGTTTACATAATCTTCCCAACTTCATAGCAGCTACTGCCATTGTCAGGAGTGTACAGATTAGGAAAACGAGGCTTAGAATGGTTAAATAACGAATCCAAGTCCACAAGGTTAGTAAAGAGCAGGGCTTGGGCTCTCACTTGCATTATTTGATTATGAAGCCCATTCTTGCAAAACCACAATATTATAGCCTTTCCCTCAATGGCCAGATCCAGAGCTGCCTCCTGGGTCCTTTCCATCCCCACCACCTTGGGTCAGTCTAGGCCCTCATCCGCTTTCACCTAGACCATCAGAACAGCCTCTTCTCTGGTCTTTCCACCTGTAGCCCCTTTCCTTCATGTCCATCTTTCTCTCCAACTGCTAGTGTGATTGTCCCCCAAACCAATGTGATCATATCAGTTCCCTGCACCAATAACTCCACGCTCTTACTGCCCACTGATCACACTCAGTAGCTGCTCTGGCACTTGAATCACACCACCATCATCTCATCTCTCCTACCACTGCCTTCCCTGTGCCACGAACCTGAGGCCTTAACCACACTAAAGAATCACGGATCCCAAACACCTTGGAGTCGTTCATTGTGCATTTCCTCTCCTAGGTACAGTTTCACCCCTTCTCTGATGGTCATCTTCAAGGCCCAGTTCAGGCCTCCCCAGCAGTCCAAGCAGTCGATGTTCTGAGGTGTGGGCTGAGTCTACTTCCCCACTAGACCAGACTGGGTCTGACTCATGTCTGCTTCTCCCCAGAAACCAGCACAAGGTCAGGTACAAAGTAGATGTTCACTCGAAATCTACATGACTAAATGAGTAAGTGAATGCCATATTCCTTCACACCTTTACCCAGGAATAAAGACAAAGAAAACAATGTCCATGAAGGTGGGGTTTTTTAAAAAAAATTTAAATATGTTTATTGATTTGAGAGAGAGAGAGAGAGAAACATCAATGTGAGAGAGAACATCGATCAGTTGCCTCTCATATGCACTCCGACCAGTGATCAAACCCAGGTATGTGCCCTCACTGGGAATTGAACCCTTAACCTTTTGGTGCACAGGACAATGCTCCACTCAACTGAGCCACATCAGCCAGGGCAAGAGTTGGGATTTCTGTTTGTTTTGTTTATTGCTGGTTCTTCAGTGTCAGTATGGCACCTGGCACATAGTAGGTGCTCAATGAAGGCATACTTCTTCAATGAATGTATGAGTGAAAGGTATGAACTCAAATCTGGCTGTGGTTCTAAAGATGGACACAGACACACAACACATGATGCAACAACAATGATAATTCCTCTGATTGTTTGGTGATTTTGAATTCATCACATCTATGATCACTTGAAGTCTACCCAATAACTCTATGAGGTGAGTTGCCTGAACCACACACCCACCTCCTGCACAGTCGCCTTGCTGGATGGCCTTTCTAAAGCATCAGTATAACGAGGCCAGCCTCTGCTCACAACCTCCCCAGCTCCCCATGGCTCAGACTTCCTAATCTGACTCCACACTCTCGCCACACCATCATCCCTCATGTTCTCTGATCCCAGTCCCAAGCTAGTCCCTGAACACACTCTCCTCCTGTATTCCCAAGGGCAACTCCTACTCTTCTTTTTACTGATTGATTGATTTTAGGGAGAGAGGAAGGGGGGAAGAAAGAGAGAGAGAGAGAGAGACATTGATTTGTCATTCCACTTATTTATGCATTCATTGGTTGATTCTTGTATGTGCCCTGACCGCATATTGAACCTGCAACCTTGGCATATCGGGACAGTGCTCGAACCAACGGAACTACCCAGCCAGGGCCCTACTCTTCTTTCAGAGTTTAGCTGTTGGAATCTTTCTTAACTCTCCTGAAGCTGAAGGGGAAACTAATTAAATATACAGATTACCAGGCCTCCTCCCTGGAGATTTTGATTCAGGAATCTGGGTTAGAGCACAGAAATTTTGTTTTTTTCTTCTTCAAAAAAATATGTTTATTCATTTTAAATATGATTAAGAGAGGAAGAGAGAAACATTGATGGGAGACAGAAACATCAATCAATCGGTTGCCTCCCTTACACGTCCCAACCAGGGATCGAACTCGCAACCAAAGGTATGTGCCCTGATCGGGAATTGAACCCACAACCTTTTTGTGTACTGGACAACGTTTCGACCAACTGAGCCACCCAGCCAGGGCCAGGGTGAAATCTCGTTTTTTAACAATCACCTCAGGTGTTTCTTTTATTTGAAGATTTTTTAAATTAATTAATTAATTTATTTATTGTGAGAGAGAGTAAGGGAGGGAGGAAAAGACGGAGAGAATCAATCTACGTGTGAGAGAGACATCAATGATTTGCCTCTCATAAGCCCCCAGCTGGGGACCTGGCCCACAACCCAGGCACGTGCCCTAACAAGTAATCGAACCAGTGACCTTCGGTTTGCAGGCCAGCGCTCAGTTCACTGAGCCACACCAGCCGGGGCTCACCTCTAGCAATTCTTATTTTCAGTCAAGTATGAGAACCACAGTTTATCGGGTAAGCATGATTAAGGCTAAGTTATGCTGCATAAGAAACATCCTCCAAATCTCAGTGACTCAACACAGTAAAGCTCTATTTTTGCAGCAGGCTGGGGTTACCTCCCAATGCAGTTTATTAATATGCTGGACTCTGGGTGCCTCATATTCAAGGACCCCATCTCATTAATCTCTGCCTCTTCACAATACCTGGCACAGGACCTATGACACTTGCTGTGCTCAAGAACAAAAGAATAAATACCCGTTTGACCTATTCACCCATTACCCAGTATTTACTGAGGCTCTACTCTTTGTACCAGGATTACGCTCTAGTGTTAGAGACACAAGAGTGAGCAAAACAGACATCAACCTGCCCTATGGAGCCAGTAACCTAATTTCCCTAAGCCCTAATTTCCAAATCTATAAAATGAGCTACATTATTCACCCCTCAGGCACAGCATGAGAGGATTTGCTGAGGAAACAAATGTGGCCCTGGCTGATGTGGCTCAGTGAATTGAGTGTTGACCTGCGAACCAAAGGGCCTCCAGTTCGATACCCAGTCGGATCACGTGCCTGGGTTGCAGGTCAGGTCCCTGGTTGGGAGCACGTGGGAGGCAACCAATCAATGTATCTCTCACACATTGATGTTTTTTCTCCCTCCCTATCCCTTTCTCTAATAGTAAATAAACAAAATCTTTAAAAAATATTAAAATGAAGAAAACAAGCATGGAAGCCATTTGTTACCTGAAAATCTCTACCTAAGCAGAGGTGAATGAGCGCTGTTATTTTGGTGGGTGCCTCTATTTGCTCCTTCAAACCTTATGCCCAGTTTTCAGGTTTTATTCCTTAGGCCCCTGGAATTTGGTAGCCCATCCCTCTCCTCACTATTTCCATTGCCCCTTCAACTCATCAAAAACCTGTAGGGTGAATGTAATATTAATAATAATAATGATAATATCTAGTTTTTATATAGTATCTATCATG